TAACAAACAAAAAAGATTAAGTGAAGAGAACATAACAAATTTACGTGGTTCAATCAATTTGGCCTACATCCATAGAAGAGGGCAAATTTTACTATTTAAAAATAAAATCAAGTCTTTACAATAAAATGACCTCTTACTCTTCTTAAAAATCCCTTAATCTTTCTAACAAGTATTTTTTCCTCTTAAAGTATCTTCTTCATAACTTCTATACATACTTTCTCATTCTTTAGTATTTACACTTAGCACTTTACCCTCATGCTCTCTCACACTCACTTACAAAAGACTCAAACAAATATATATTAGGATTCAACACATTATGATTAGGTCTTATAAAACAAAACATATTAAATTTATCAAATTAATGACGATAAATTATATATAGCTTGAACTTATCAAACAAATGAAGCCACACCAAATATATAATATTGTACAAATAAAAAACCATACAAAATATACGAATAATATATTAAATTTTTGAGATATAATCAATATCAATAAATTCATTATATAAAATAAATTTTGATTAGATGAAAATATAGATCGATCGACATATTATTTTCCCTTTATAATTTTTGGAGAAAAAAAAGTTAGAGAAATTTCGTATTTATCATGTTTATAATTTTTTTAATGATAATTCTAACTTATAAATTACCGGTTCAAGTGTGAAATTTTTACGTAAATAATATTTTTTAAAAGAAAAATTACAAAAATGACGCCTATGCAACTTTATTTACAGGAATAGACCTGTTTACTGTTCATGCTCGGAATTCGGTTCCCTGGGAACCGAATTTTGAGCTTCAAACTTTTTTTTTTCTTCTCAGAATTCGGTTCCCGGAGAACCGAATTTCGAGTTATTTTAATTTTTTTTTCTTTTTTTTTTTTCGTGTTTCTAGCCCATTTTGGGCAAATGTTGGAAGTGGAACGGCCCGTTCTGAAAGCAGAACGAGCCGTTCTGCTTAAAGACCCAGAGTCTTTTTTTTTTAAATTAAAACGGGCCAAGAACGGCCCGTTCAAAAATAGAAATTTTAACATTTTTTTGAATCTGGAACGGCCTTGGAATGGCCCGTTCCGGAAGACATTTTCAGGAAGTAGAACGTGGTTTGGAACGGATATATATATATATATATATATATATATATATATATTATTTTTATTTATTTTTTTGTTTGTTTGAAGACCACTCATTAACTCATTCAATTAATCCCTATCAATACATAAAACCTAGATTATAAGCTGACACTCATACACGATGATTAAATTGATAATTAAATATTTTTTCCTTTATAGGTACACATATTGTCTACCTCATCTCTCTTTATCATATTAATAAATCATCTTCTGTCACTTTTTTATTGTATAATTTTTCTGTATAAAGTGTATAAATATAATTTAAATATGTTACGATTGTCTTCACTAATAATATTGCAATATCCTTCTCATCACATTGCAAAACAAAATAAAATTCTTGTCAAATAGATTATCTACCGAGAGAACGTTCGAGTTTATAAATTGAAATAACTTTGTATTACTTGACTTATACACTTAATAATGCTCAGTTAATAATTATCCAAATGAAAAATATAAAATGAAAAATTGTAATTATCAATTGACATATGTAACTTTAATGGTTGACATTAAATCAAAATCTTACATAGTTGGAATAAAAGGATGAACATGATCATTGGTATGGTATGAGATCATTTTAAAGATGCTTAAAAGTAAATCTATGGGTGTTTAAGTCTAAGTAGATAATATCACTTGTACACTTATAATATATTGAGGGTTTTCATTCACACATCTTAGCATTGATATGATATTATTTACTTTGAGTTTATTTATATTTTGTTATCTCTCAAGAAAACTCTTAATAATAAAGATTTGTGCATGCTTATAAGTTTTTTTTCCTAACAATTTGAAATTTTCATTATATTATAATATGAATAATTTTTGTGTTTTATTGAATTTTGTAAAAACAAATTTCCATCAAATACCTAGATGATGAAGATCGGTCTCTGATTCGTTGGCCAATGATAGTTTCTAGAATGATTGGGTTATCCCTAAAATTTTCTATCACCACTCAAACCTCATCATCAATACACCTTTCATATCATATGCTACTTCAGATGCATCCCTCATTGATTCAAATGATCACAAGGTTTTCAGTTATCGTTGTCCTACTAATGTGCCTCAAACGTGGGGAAAACTATACTCTTCCTTAAAAATATTGTGCTGCCCACATGGCATCACGTGGGCTTCATGGTCCTCCCCAACATTGAGAAAATTACATTGCTCTTGTCAAATCTGTCATTAATTCTCTTTGGATGTTTGTCTACCATTATTGTCTCCTACCCAAACTTAATCATTTCTTAAATAACCTTGGTTATTATACTTTCACATCTATTTTGTGAAAATCACTTTCCAATATTATATATATATATATATATATATATATATATATTTTAGATTTTTATGTTATATTAAAATTTGAATTTATTTTAGTAGTGACTAATCAGGATAAATGAGTATAATAATATCAATATATATATATATATATTTATATTTATTTAAAATTACACACTTTATATCTAATCATATCTTAAACATATTATAAACAAGGTTACATGTAAAAAAATGAAATTAAGTAATTTGATTATTCAAATATAACCCTATCAATGAAATGAGATTAAGTAACCTTGATTCGAATCGACTTAAATCTATTTAATGAATCTAAGTCAATTTTTTTTAGTTTTTGGATTAGACCTAATCTAATGCAATTAAAATATGACACTCAATTGAGTAAAAGGTCTTGTATTTTTTGACCTATGACACAATCCAACCTAGTCATATATAATAATAAAATAATAATAATAAGTTAATATGATCATTTATTTAAAATAATATTCACTATTACTCTTGTTTAATAACGAATATTATATTTTTGGATTGATGATATCATAATAATAAAATCTAGTTTTAAAAATTTTATTTTGTATTAATGTTAGTTGTTTTTTGGTCGAGATAGGAAAACTTACAAAGATCACACTGAGAATTGAACCTAGGTCTTCATGTTTCTAACTACCCTAATCCCTCCCCACCCAACTACTAGGCTAACCCTAATGATTATCTTAGTGTTAATTGTTTGAGCTAATAATAACATAATAAATAAAAAATTTATTTTTAAATTTAGTTTATATTATTATATATTTTATCAATTGACAATATTAAATTTGTTACAAGATATTAAATTATGTATATCTATTATGAAATATTTAAATTTTTATAAAAATATATAAATTTAATTATATTAATTTAATTAACTCAACTTAATTTAATTCGTTTGTGATCAAGTTAAATTTGATTAAATTTTAAAAAAAATATATAAATTTAATATAATTTAATTTATTAAATTTTGATCGAATTTAAATTTATCCAAATTTAATCTAATCCAATTGTACAGGAAAAGTGATGGTGTTGAGTTTATCCACAAATGATTCCCATCAGTATAAATGCCCGATCACGATAGTTACTAGGCTTGACTACTTCAGTCGTGGTCCTTGACTATCCAAATTTGATAAACCAGTATAGTAAAACAAAACATGTTTAAAGAATCAGTGTATGTGTCCTTTTCGAAAATCACAAATGAAAAAAAAATAAAATTAGTCTATAATTTATAATAAGAAAAACGTATTTTTTTTTAATTATTATTATCAAATTACTAAATATATAATTAAGTATTTTAAATATCTAGAAGATAGATAATTATTATATTTTTTTTCTTTTTTTAAATCTATTAAAAAATAAAAAATCACAGACATTTTTATAAACAAAATTAGGGACTCTACCTTATTATTGTAATAATTTTTCATTAATTTTTCCAACTAAAATTAATAAACAATGTTTATTATGAATCTTAATAACTTCTATTATTATTTTATTATAATTTTTTTATTATCAAACAATTAATTAAATTAATAGGATAATTAAATCAAACATAAACTATATGAGTCACATGATGTTTTTTTTTTCATTATCTCATTTGTCTCATATACTTTTTAGAGATTATTCCTATCATCATCAACTAAATATGGTCATTTAACTTGAAACTTGAAATTCTTCAAAAATATATAGAAATGATTATACATGAATCATAACAGTTACATTTCAAGATAAACACTTCGTTCCATGAGTTACAATGTATAATACTTTATAATAACTAAAATATGTCCATACTATATTAATTCAAATGAATGATATCCTTATATGTCAAACTTAATATGCATAAAGTCATAAATCAAAAAGATAAACTTTAATACAAGTCTATAAATATACAATCCTAAAATACTGTAACTAGCATTCTTTTACTGGATTATTAATTCTACAACTATATACTCAATAAAGATTAACTCTCTTTTGATATTTATTTTATGTCAACTTGCTTGCCTTAACTTTCACCTTTATTATCCTTTAAAAAGAGTACTTAGTTAAGAATTCTTAATTGATCATCAATAAGATTGACAACTTTAAGATAAAAAACATTATGTGTTTGATATAATCTCGTAACATTTATCAAATATTTTCCTTAAAATAATTTTTAAAAATATCAAATACTTCCACTTATTTTCTTAAATTTCAGTTCTCAAAAAAATTGAAATTTTCTTATTCTTATTTAGTGCAGGAATGTCTAAATAGGATGATAAAATGTATAGCATTTTTGTAATATTTAACATTAAGTTAAACTTAATGATTCTAACTCTATCTTTCATTCTTTTTACACGAGTTTCCTCTTTTTTATTTAGATGTTAATAATTAGATTTAGATGAGTTTTATAATTAAAAAAAAAACTTTAACATTTTCAGTTTTTCATTTTTAATCTGTATTCTTTTTAATAAATCAGATGACCCATACAAAATCAAACCAAACATAGGAAAGTTAATTCGTTTGGATTAATGATCAAAACGAGTAAAGATTCTAAACGATGGATATGGTCTAGGTAGGGTTAACAAAGTACCATTGATCAATTTAGATCTGCATACTGCAAATCTGAACTGGACCCATCGGTGCTCACTCCCGAGTCTTGTACAGTCCACTAAACCAAATATTGGAATTCATTTGGGACAATTAACAGAACATAAAATAACTCTGTCAATTAACTAAAAACCAGCATAAAGACAACAAACAGATAAATTATAAGCAGGTTCCCATTTGATTTCTATCACAAGAATTATTTATCTAGCTACTACTACTCAGGCCTAAAATCCACCAGTAGATTTACTTAGGATTCATATCTAGTCCATTGATCTTATCACTGATATCCGAGATGACCTTGTCCATGTCTAGATCCAACAATGCTTCAAACGGAGGCTTCATATTCTGAAATAAATTAAAAAAAAAAAGGGATTAGTAGCATTAAAAGTGCATACATATTGCAACCAGAGTGACACAAAATATAGATTAGCAGCATTACATACTAAAAGCACGACCAACCTCATACAAAACTTTCGGTTTAAATAATAATAAAAAAAAAGTCCTAAAGTTGGAGGTGATAGGAAAAAATAAAGTGAACTATAATAAGCCGAGCTTGAAATTATATCAATCCATAAGCAATAACATTGTCTCTAATCCAAAACAGCTCCGTTTTTATATATTACGTGCCTAAGATTCAATGCGAAATCGTTCACAATGTTAGTTTAGTCAAAATTTTGATGGAGTACCACAAATACCGTGATACGAACTATTCTCCAATAAAATTACAACTTAGTATCGTATAATATATTGTTCAATTAAATATTAACACTTAAAGTAAAACTTTAATTCTAAAACAGCACACGATCCTAACAAAAAAAATTGCCTCAGTTCATGTAAAATATTAATTACAAAATTTGCAAACACATATATACTTGGATGAATAATTGTACTATATGTAGTTGTTTCTTCAACCGCATATTATCTTCTTCCCTTCTTTTAAAGGGAGTGATTGGAAGATGTTATGATAAAAACGTTGTAGGGGAAATTCAACAGGATGATCAATGGTCGATACCAATCCGTAATATAGCAAGTAGCAACTCTAATTTTGCAACACTAGAAAACTATTTCACAGTTAACAATTTAAAAGCATAACAACTTTCAATTATTCAAGCATGATTATGGGTAAGATTTACCAAGAGACTGATGAACTTTTCGCCTCCTTCATTCCGTATTTCGAAGCAACCCTCTCTTGGCTGTTCATAGAATATAAAAAGTGTCAAAATATGTCAAATTTAGACTAATCAAATAGTTGACATGAAACTTAAATTTTTTTTGCACAGCTCAAATGTTTTAAATTGGTACCAAGCTAAGTTCTCTCTATCAAAATTTTGAATAATAAATTTTACCAAATAAAATTTGAATATTAATTATCTTATTACATTACTAGATATTTTATCGATTTACTTTGCAAGATATGCAAACAAATGTAAAATGCATCAAACATTAGTAGCGTGAGTGCCCCTTTTGAACAAAAGGAAAAAAAAAAAAAAGAATTATACCGAGCAAAAGTCCGCCCAAAATACATCTATCTGCCATCAAAAATAAAAAGCGAATCCATATTAACATGTATGCTGTTATTGTTCTCACAAGATTTTTTTTCCTTAATTAAGTTTCATAAAAAAATGTTGCCCCATAAAAAAAAAACATTGCTCCCACAACTTTTTTTTTTTGAATAAAGGTATCAAATTATTCAAAAAAAATAAATGGAATTAATTTTAGGAGAAAACTAACATATAATTTCTTAGATGAAGTTAAAATTTTTTTACACAAATAATACTATTTTAAATTTTTTTTACCCAAATAGCAATTGTGCAAATTTATTTTCCCAATTAGCACCATTTACTGTTTATGTTCAGAACGGATCGTTCCAAATTAAAAAATAACACATGACAAATGGATCAGAACGGGCCGCTCCAAAATCAAAATTAGCACATAAAAAATAGAACCAGAACGGGCCATTCTGGCCTATAAATAAAATTTTTTTGGTTTAATTTTCACTTATTAAATACCAAAACTCAAAAACTACCATCAAGTAATTAAATTTATTGAATATTAATATTATAAATATAACTAAATAAATTTATTAAAATTCATTACAATAATAAAGATCAATGGTTACGAAAATTGAATTCATGACCAATATTTGGATATGCCTTCCTAGTGTGACCCAGGATGTGACAATAGAAACAATTTTTTACATGATTATGTTGTTCTCTAATGCCCATCTTTGTTCTAATCCTGCTAAACTTAGGCCGCCCCTTGAAAGTTTTGGCCACAAAGTTGAAAGAAACGCAACATCCGAAAAAAGTTTGACCCGCTAAGAGATTTACGGTAAGGTTAAATGAAATGTGGTATGATTGCGACAAGTTCTAGAAAGGTATACGAAAAACAGTTTGGAGAGCTCCAACATGAAAATTATTGGCCTACTTACACTGGTCCAACTTTGTGGCCAAATCCAGAACTCAAGCAAACTTTCAAGGGTTGGCCAAAGTCCAGTAGGATTAAAACAAAGATGAACATTAGAGAACGACATAATCAGTTTCTGTCATCATTGATCTTTATTGTTGTATTGAATTTTAATAAATTTATTTAAATATATTTATAATGTTAATATTCAATAAATTTAATTATTTGATGTTAATTTTTGAGTTTTGGTATTTGATAAGTGAAAATCGAACAAATTTTTTTTATTTATAGGCAAAAACGGCCCGTTCTAGTTCCATTTTTTATGTGCTAATTTTGATTTTAGAACGACCCGTTCTGATCCATTTGCCATGTGTTATTTTTTAATCCGGAATGGCCCATTCTGATTTCAGAACGGCCCTTTCCGAACATGAACAGTAAATAATGCTAGTTGAGAAAATAAATTTGCACAGTTACTATTTGGGTAAATTTTTTTTAAAATAATATTATTTGAGTAAAACTCTGAAATTAATATTATTTTTCAAATTAAAATTAAAAATTTACTTCAATAATATGTATAAATATATAATAATGAAATCTGCATTAAATACAATGTATATATTAAACGGATCTATGTTTACAGTGAAAATAGTACGAAGAAAATTCATAGATATTGTTTGTATGATTTTTAAATCAAGATTAATATTTTATTTTAATAATATATGTAATTAATAATTATTAAATATTAACATTATCAACTCTTATATATTAAATATGAACCTTTATTTTATGCAATATTATTTTTAGAGATTTTTTATTGACGAGAGTTTTTAGAAATTTTTTTAACTTCTTATCTAATTTGATTTTTATTTATCATAATTATTTATGAATTAAATTTTAATATTTTAAAATAAATTATAATAAATAAAAATAATATTATGTTATAATAAAAATTATTTATTATAAATATAAAATACAATTTATATGTTGTTGACAAAAAATATATAATTTAAATATTTAAAATATTTATATAAATGTTTTAAATATAAAATTAAATATTTAAATATTATTATAAATTTTTATTATATATAATAAATATTTAGTTATGTATTGTTCAAATTAAAATATTAGTTGTTATATAATTTTAATTAAAAAAATAAAAACATTTTCACATGTGCTAGAACCTAGAAGAACATAGGTACCTTTTTAGGGTTCACTCTAAGAATGATACCAGGAACTCTGTTCACTAGCCCATCTTTCAGCTCTGTGGCTTTCGTCTCGAATGGATCACACTGCGTGCTAAAGAGAGAGCAGTTTCAGTCACGCTTCATTAAATATAGGCAAATAGACCAAGCAGTAGCAACAGAATGGTTTTTATTTACCTTTCCAATTAACAAAACAAAAAATAGTTAAATTCAATGGCATTAAAATAAAATAAAAGGGAGCCTCTATTTCAATTGTTTGAGACATCCAAAACTTCTAACAGAAACTTTTTTGTTATTATCTATCATGGAGGAGTATTATTTTTTAAGGAAAAATAATATTTAACTCCCTTAAATTCCATACAAATAGATATTACAAATTTAAAGTTTATTTTAATTGATTCTGAAGTTTTATTTTGTTAACAAATAGACATTATAAAATTTAATTTTATTACAATTTATTCTTAAATTATATCATTTTTATAAATAAATAATTTGATTGTAATTTTATTTTAATTAATTTTTTTTTGTAAATCTCTTATATTATATTGAGATTAAATCACTAAGATAAAAAAATATCAATTATTTATTTTTAAATCATACTTAATTATTAATTTTTTTGATACATATATGTTAATTTTATTTTCATATATATTAAAATACCATATAATATAGAAGAAGAAAAAAATGAAATAAAGACTTCTTTTTATTGTTTTTATCATTTCTTTTAAACTCGTATTTTTATTATATTTTGAAAAAAATAATTATAATATAAAAAAAAGATTAGTGAATGATTGATATTTAAAATAAATAATTTAACTCTAAATTAATAATATAAAAATAAAAAATTATCAAATGTCAAAATTAATTATAATAAAATTAAAATTAAGGATGTTTATTTATAAAAGAAGTAAAGTTTAAAGACTAATTGAAATTATATTAAAATTTATAATGTATTTTTATAAATAAGATAAAATTTAAGAATTAATTATGATAAAATAAAAGTTTATGGTGTCTATTTGTAAAAAAAAAAGTAAAATTTAGGATGATTGATTACCTTTTTCTCTATTTTTTAATTATGCTCTTACATTTATCTAATTTTTAATCAATTTGTAAATTTAATATAAAATATTTTAAAAACCATATTTTTAGTTATTCTATTTATTTTCAAGATTTAATACAGTTTTATTATTTTTAAAATATACAATTTAAAAATTGTTCAACATTATCATTCTTTTAAAGTGTTAACGAAGTTAGATAAAAGATAACATTAAACATTTTTTTAAAAATTTAAAAATTAAATAACTAAACATAATATTATAATTAAAGTTTAACGAAGTTTTTAAGTGTATGTAAAGTACCTATATTTTTTTAATATTTAATTTAGTTTTACTATTTTTAAATGATTTGATTTAATCTCTTGTTTTTTTTATAAAAAAAAATCAATGGTATTCTTCTTCTAATTTGATTAAAGTCATTAAAATTAATTTGAACAAAAAGATAATATTATATATATTTAAAATATTTGAAGAATAAATTAAATAATTTAAAAACAATGAGATCAAATTAAATAATTTAAATATAATGTGACTAAATTGAATCTTTAAAATAAATAGAAAGAGAAAAAATATAACTCAGAAAAAAAAAAAACGATTATAGTAAGACAACGTGCAAGACTTTAACAGTGTTTGTTTCCACAAAAACCACGAAAAAATAGCGAGGAGAGGGTGAAGATGTATGTGTGAAAATATTTTTTGTGGTTTATTTAAGGGGATATGTATCAAATGAGAAAATTACAAACATAAAACCTACATCTGTAATTTTTATTTTATTTTTTGTAAAAACGAGTAAAAAAATGAAAAAGAGTGAGATTATTTTATTTGAATGGTTACATATTTTATTTGAATATGCTTCATTTGATCTGAATATATTGTATTTTATTTGAACATATTGATATGTTTATTTAAGAAATATTTTATTCGAATAACTTCATTTTATCTATTTGTTATTAGAAATTTAGAATACACTGTGTTCTTCAGCATTATTCGAATAGGCCTATACATGTACATTAGTCTATTAATTTAAAAATGTCAAATAACTACATCTTAAAAAAGATATAATAAATATAAAAAAAAAATTAAAATCCAACTTCATTCTCCTTAAGGTTAGAAAAACTTGCAAAGAATTTCTCCGTATTTTTACTAAGTTATTGATATTCAAAAATTAATAAAAATAACAAGAATCTTAAAAATTAAATTATATTTAAATAATATAATTAATGTTATTACATAACTATTATAGTAATTTATACTTTTAAATATATACGACAGGTAAAATTGTAATTTTTATTAATTATAATTTTTTCTCTCTTCCATTTAAATCAAACAACTTTATAATATTTTTTTCCTATTTTTTTTAATCTATTTCTCTCAAAACAAACAACCTTATTTCTTATTTATTTCCACTATCTTATTTCTCTCTTATATATTTTTTCCCCACAAAATCAAACACAGTTTAAATTTTAAAACTCACACTTATTCTTGCACAAGAATATTGAATAAGAAGCTATGTAAAAAAAAAAACACAAATAAAGCAGATGATGATCTCTACATACAAGGTGATGAACAAAAACAAAGGAATAAAAGATGAAATAAAGAAGGAAGAGAAAAAGAAAAGGTTGGATAGAAAATAGCGTACCAGTACTCAATGACGATGACGGTGTTGGAGTGGGAAGCATTTTTGCTGCGTTTCTTCGTCGGTGAGTGGTGCTCGTAAAATGTGAGAGCGAAGCCAGAGTGGGCGGCTAGATGCGCGGCGGAGCGAGTGAGTCTCTTGGCGGAGAGAGCCGCGGCGCGAGTCAGCCTGGAAGGACTTTGACTCGGTGCCTCCTTCTTGCTTTTCCTTGGAGTTGGAGCCATTGCTTGCTGTGCCTTCTCCGACTCGCAAACTTTACTCTGCAACACCACAAATATCAACACATGATGTGAACTCAAGGGACATGATAATAAGATGCACAGTTTAGGACTTTAGTTAAATTCCATTCGTCAGATACATTTCTTATTTTTTTAATTTAAATAATATACAATTTATTTAATGGAAATATCACTTTGTATATTTGGAAAAAGCCTCACTTTAAAATCTACATTAACTCCAGAGTAATATCTTTCATGCTTTTCCATTTCTTGTATTGGAAATTACAAACTTACATTCCAAAATTTTGAAATAATAACCCCACACATTCTAAGAATATATTTTTTTTTCTCAATTCCAAATTCCAATATTCTTTTCAACGTACAAGATATCTCACAATCCTTTTCAACGAAAAAAGTTCACTTTAATCTACGTTAAGTTGAAAGTAATTACAAACTCAAATTCCAAAGTTTTAAAATAATAACCTAACACATTTTTAAGATTTTTTTTTCTCAATTCCAAATTCCAATATTCTTTTCCACGTAAGAGATATCTCACAATTTATTTTTTCTTTTTATGTTTAGCAGAATTAAAATGATGGTATAAAGTATAAACGTATATTGAAAATATATTTATAATATATCATTTTTTTAACAATGTGTCATTTTAAAGTGTGATGAACATTTTTCCTTAATTTAAATAGTTTTCTTAAGTTGCATTTTATTCCGCGTTATGTAATTTTGTAGTAGAATATTATTCATTAAGAAATATTATTGTATTGCAAAGGTTCTCCACGGCATTAATTATAAAAAAAAAACTATATTTACTTTATGTATCTTTTTATTGTTATTATATTCGGTTTTAATTTTGGATCCAATGATCTGATTCTTCCATAACTACGAAGGGACTAAATTATACTATGTTAAATTAAAAAAAAAAAATATTTTGGACTGAAATCAAAATTTAGGAATTACTTTAAATTCTTTTTTGTTGGGTATTTAACTTTGTGATTTAACTACTATGAACTTTAATAACTTTGAAGACAGATGAATATTTACCCATTTCAACTGTGTGTATATGTTTTTAATTAAGTTGATCTATATATATATACTCTATATTAATTAAGTCAATCTGCTTAGAGAGATTGCCTCTCAGGTGGAGGGAGATTATCATCGCAAGACTTCAATCAACGAAAAAAGCTCATACTTATGGAGCTTCTCACTTAAATCAGATAAATCCTTTCTATCATAATGAATCCATTCATCGTAATTCAGCCGTAGCTAATTTCGAAAGTTTATGTAATAGGTGAAACACAAAGATTAAGGCTTTGTTTGGATTTGAGGATGGAAAATGGAGAGTGAAAAAGGAGGGATTTGAAGGAAAAGTGAGTGGAAAGTGAAGTTGTTTGAATTAAGGGAAAGTAAGTGGAAAGTGTAGAGAAAGTTTGTGAGTGAATTGATTTATGTGATAGATAAAAATAAATTTTTTAATTGATAATTGTGTAAGATTACTATTTTGCCCTTAGGTTAAAATAAAGTTTATAATTATTATAATTAAAAGATAAATATATAAATTTTAACTAAAAAAATAAATATAAAATATTAATTTAAAAGTAATTTAATTTAAATACTTGCTTTAAATTTAATGATAGATAAAAATTAAAAATTTAATAGATGAATATAAATTTACACTTTTATTCTTGGATTAAAAATGAGTATAATATTATTTATTGTAAATAATAATAATTACAATAAAATTATATTAATAGGTATAATTTATTAAAAAAATAATAAATAATGATAATAATAATAATAAATATTAGAAAAATAATAAGAATCATAATAAATAATAATGATACTAATTATAATAAATAATAATAATATTAATAATAATGAAAATAATAATATTTATAATAATAAATAATAATAACAAAATATATTATTATAATTATATTTTCTAACATTATTTTACTAATGTTTATGAAAATGTTATTATTTTAATTTTATAAACATATATTACTTTATTTTTTTATATTTTTATTTTTTGATGTTAATATTTAAATAATAGAATTTTTTTAATATAAAAAAATGTACAATAAAATTTTTAAAAGTTAATTAATAAATTAAAAAAATTGATATAAATTAGAATGAAATGAAGATATATTTATTAATTGTACAAATTAATTTTTACCGGTTAAAAAATTGAGAAATTTTTTAAATTACAAATTTAGGGTTGTATTTTATGTCATTTTGGAACGGCCCGTTCTAGGTTTGCCTAGAAGCGAAAATAGGCTACCATAATCGATTATGTTGAAGCATAATCGATTATGCATGCCCCATAATCGATTATGTTGAAGCATAATCGATTATGCATGCCCCATAATCGATTATGTTGAAGCATAATCGATTATGCATGCCCCATAATCGATTATGTTGAAGCATAATCGATTATGCATGCCCCATAATCGATTATGTTGAAGCATAATCGATTATGCATGCCCCATAATCGATTATGTTGAAGCATAATCGATTATGCATGCCCCATAATCGATTATGTGGCATGCATAATCGATTATGCTTCAACATAATTGATTATGTAGGTTGCATAATCGATTATGCTTGGTTCCTCTGCATGCATGAGACAGGGGCATTTCTGACTTTTCACAAATCCTATGTGTCTTTCATCTCTTTTCTTCGTTTTTGTGCGAAGACAACAACAATACTTCTCCCCCCTTTTCTTTGTCTTTCCTTCGTTGCAAATTACCGGAAACAAACACTTACTTTCTTCGCCTTTCATTACTCGTAAATAGTACATTACCGGAAACAAACACTACGTAAAGTCCCCTATAGTAATATAATCAATTTGTATAACTGCATGAACGGATAATTAAATAAGAACATTTACTATAACTAACAACTAAATTAGCGTTCATAGATTTTCGTAGGTTGGGCTTGTAGTTGTAACCTGTAGCACCTTTTATCCGACAAAAGAAAACGTATGTACGAGCAAGTAAGTACCATAGGCTAGCAATTGTCCACGTCACACAAACCCATGGAGGCCACGTGTCACACTTTCAACTGCTTGATCACTCCACCCTCCCCAAAACCCAACCAACTCTATACATGGCCATTCTCCTCTGCACGCCACTTCCATTTCTTTCTCTGAGAAACCCCTTCAATTCCTCCAAGTCCACGTTAACCTCAACACTGACGAACCCAACAACAAGAACTCGGTTGTGCCAAGCGATGAACACGTTCGCCAAATCCGAACCCGCGTCGTCCTCAGCCTCGGCGTCAACGTACCAGGTGCCGGAGCATGATGCTAACGACATGGACCGCGTTGTAGACAACGCGTTTCGAAGGTACACGTCCGACACCAAGAGGAGTGGCAAAGGAACCGCCATTGTGTGGTTCAGGAACGATCTCAGAGTTTTGGACAATGAGGCTCTCTACAAGGCATGGCTTTATTCCGAAACCGTGTTACCTGTCTATTGTGTTGATCCTCGACTCTTTGCCACTACTTATCACTTCGGCTTTCCGAAAACCGGTGGTATAGTTATATGACTTATATTCATATTCACCTTTTCTTCTGTACAAAGTTAAATTCAATTGCTTAGATGTTTCTCACATTGTTTCCGATCAACATTAGAGTTTCACTTTAATAGTCAAGATAATAGAAGTTCACTCTAAAGATTAGCATAACTTATCTTTTTAGGATTTGTTCGGATAAACTTCTCCAAAAGTAGATACAGGAGAAGAAAATGGGAAAGATAAATGAAATTAGCTTCTCCATAAGTTGATTTGTAGAAAGTCCGCGCTTTAGAGAAGGAAAAATGAAATGTTTCTAGAGACTCTTTAAGTGCTCTTGGACAAGCTTGTTCAAATAAACTCCTGGTGTGAAACTCCAATTTTGAGGGGAGAACGATATTAGAAGCACCTAAATAACTGCATCTAAGTTTGTTTTTTGCTTTTGTTGATGTTATTATGAATTTAATTAATGTTGCCGCAATAGCATTGCATTGCATAACTCACACAACTTTTATGCAGCATTGAGAGCGCAGTTTCTCCTTGAATGCTTGGCTGACTTGAGGAAGAATTTGATGAAGAAAGGACTTAATTTGCTTGTACAACATGGGAAGCCTGAGGATATTCTTCCTTCTCTGGCAAAAGCTTTTCGAGTTCACACAGTAAGTCTTGGAATTTAAAGCCTGATTAATTGCAGTAAGTTAGTTTGAATTGATGGAATTTCGTGGTTGAAGCTATAAGGTTTATTAATGAATGTAAAACTGTCAGGTGTATGCGCAGAAAGAAACTTGCAGTGAGGAGCTGAATGTTGAAAGGTTAGTCATCAGAGGTCTTCAACAAGTTGTGATATCACCTGAGGAGTCCAGTGGTGTCACAGTTTCAAACAACATCCCTAAGTTGCAATTTGTTTGGGGTACCACTATGTACCACCTTGATGACCTCCCTTTCGATGCCACTTGTTTGCCGGATGTGTATACTCAATTTCGCAAGGCATGATGTTTTCAATTGGGATTTGTTTTCAGCGCTACTTATGCATGCTAATGGGATTTGTAAATTGCAGATTGTTGAAGACAAATGTACCATACGCTCATGTATCAAACTACCAGCATCTCTTGGACCACCTCCCTTGGTTGAGGATTGGGGATGCCTTCCTTCATTAGAGCAGCTGGGACTTTGCTCGCAGAATGTAGGTTTTTCCGTAACTATTTGCAGACATCTTTCAAGATAGTGCCTGCTTTTACAAGAAGTTAACTTGAGTCCTTTGAAATCGTGAATGATAAAGATAACAAATTTTGTTCTTTCGTTTATTTTCCTCCTCTTGGTATAGGTTAGCAAAGGGATGAAGTTTGTGGGGGGTGAAACTGCAGCATTGAGTAGAGTATATGAGTACTTTTGGAAGAAGGTTGGTTATCTCAGATTGACAATTTAGATCCAATTTTTGTTATGTCACTGTTGCTGCATATGGCTATGCTGTAAATAATGAATTAGTGCAGGAGTGATATTTGATAGTGATTAATTACATATTTATGAATTGCGTTTATGAAATCTATCACATGTGTCACGAAATGAATATACCACCGTATATA